AACTAGCATTTCACCAGTGACTTAAATACACGCTCTAGTTTGGGATCCGGGGCTTGGACAACCTTAAGTAAAACTGGCGAATACCTATTACACAGATATTATGGTATTATGGATATGATACATTTAGAGTCCTACATTAAATGTAATAGATGGTAACACTTTTCTCAACCTTGGAGTTTAGGAAAACATGCGTTTTAGAATTTGGAACTATTATTTAAATTGGTGGATGAAAAAATTCCAGTAACTGTATGGAAAATGAGTGACCCTAAGAGAAGGTCACAAGGGAAAATGGGAGGCAAGGCAGACACCCAGTGGAGAGACAAAGAGACTTGTTAGGTAGAAAGCACAGGAGAAAGCAACATCAACACAGAGGCATGGGTGCTGGGGGCCCTGGGGAGACTGAGTCATGGGCAAAGGGAGAAGCCTGGGAAAGAAGGTGCCGAATAGCAGCAACCCTTTCCTTGAGCGGTGACCCGGGTGCTCAGCGCTGCCTCCTACTGGCTCGGGAGCTCGATTCCTTTCTCCATAAACTTACTCAGGTGGCTTCAACCTTCTGAAGATTATTTACCTGCAGAAAGCAAGTCTGGCCTATTTATTCTTCTATACTTACAATGCCCAGTGCTTTCAGTCCTGGAATGATCCAGAATGTCATCTCATAGCATCTTGCTGCCCCTAAAGACCTGTCTTCAGCATTTCTGTAGAACAAATCTGAAGGTCAACAAATTTTCTCACCCTTTGTTTTTCTGGAAAAGGCTTTTATTCCCCTTCGATTTTGAAATATATTTTTGCTGATTTTTTTTCAGTACTTCAGTATTGTTCTGTTTGCTTATAACTTGCCTTGTTCTAAGTGAGAAGTCAGTACTAATTCTTCCTACATTATTCTCTGTGTCTTTTTTTTTCTGTCTGCTTTTCAGATTGATTATGGATGATTGATTATTTGTTTATTTTTGCTTCCCATTTCTAGTAGCTATTTACTCCCATTCCTGAAAGACTACTTGAAAATAATTTTATATTTATGCAAAAATATAAGAGTAAGAATAGAATTTGGGACATGCATCTTTATTCAGATTCATCTTTATCTAACTTTTCCCCCATTTTCTTTAATATCTTCATCATTCATCTCTGTAACCATAATAACTTTTCCTGAACTACCTGAGACATAATGTCCATCTATCCCTAATACTTCAATGTGTATGTTCTAAGACTAGGATATTCTCTTACATGACCATGGTAGATTTCTTAGCTTTAGTAAATTTGGCATTTATACTTTACTTTTTCTAATCCCATTTTCAAGTTTGTCCATTGACTTAATCAAGTCCTCTATATCACTTTTTTCTAGGCCCTGTCTAGGATCGAAACTTACATTTTATTTTCATGCACATTTTAGTCTCTCTTAATGTGAAATGTTTTTACATTTGTATTTTTACTGACAATATGTGCATTGTGTAGAATCAAGTCATTTGAAAAAAAATAGAATGTGCCTTATTTGGACCTCCTCTGGTTTTCTGTAACCGGACTCAGGTTACACCCTTCAGACCAGAATGTCTCATTAGTGATGCTGTGTCCTTCTCAGCTTGGCCTGTGGCTCCTGCCCCTCCCCCTTACTGGTGGTGGCTGTGGCAGGTGTAATTGGTAAGCATCCTATTTTATAGCATACTTTACTATTATGCTGTAATTAGTAAGCAGTCTGAGGGAGATGTTTTAAGACTGCAATCATCGTCATCTTCATCAAAAATTTCCCCTCTATTTAGCAACCATTGATGCTTCTTGCTCAGTCAATATTTCTATGATTTTTGCAAAAGGAGCATTCTCTAATTCAGCTTTCCTCCAGGCTTTTCAGTTGACACAGCACTGTTGGGAAAGACATCTCTCTTGTTCCCCATATGCTGATTTAATCACCAACTGGTTACCTGTTTGCACTTATAAGTTCCAGATTTTCTTAGATTTGGACAGTGGGAACATTTCCATGTAAATTGAATAAAAAATATTGTACAATGAATAGCACTAGGTTGTTGAATTTCTGGATGTTGTTGCTTTCCTTCAAAGAACATGAAAACTTTTCTAGCAAACAGTTAAATTAATGCCCATCAACTTGACTGCTTCAAGGTTGGTTTTTCAGGCTTGTTAGCATGGGTCTAGTGTAGTCTTTATGGATACTACTACTGAGTTTTCTTCCTAGGGTCTCTAATGAGTACTCTGGGCATTTAACAGGATTGGAATGACTGCTTAGAAACATAGTATCTTAGAGCTCTGTGAGAATTCTGAATTTTCAGTTTATAGTTCACCTAAATTTCTGACTACCCTTATGGAGTAGTATCACAAGAAACTCAGTACTCAGCAGCTATTGAAGGTACTCCTCTGTAAATGTCTGCACCTCTTACTCTGAAGCTTTAAGTCCTTTACCCTAGTTCTGGCAAATTCAGCCTCCCCAGTTTCTGACTTCTGTCTCTTCAAACCAAAAGACCACCAAATTCTGCTTGATCCCATCTCTCAATCTACCTGACCAGTGTCTCTAGGTAGAAAGACACAAACTTGTAACACTCATCTGGTTCATCTGGTTGCCCTTCACCCAAGGTCACTCACATATACCTTCTGCTGTCCAGGGTCATAGTGGTTGTTCACTATTTTATTTCCATTTTCTATAAAAGGGCATGTCAGATAAAAAAAAATAGTTAATCTG